ACATTCTATAATCGGGCTCAAGGCGTGTGGGATCCAAACTCTACATTTTCGGATCTTTACAAGTCTTTGGAGATGCCACAGTGCTGTCTCCTTGTCGCATCGGAATTGCTCTGCAAATGATCGATAGTCTATCCAGATCCCTTTTCAACAGCGTCAGATAGAGCATCGTGATTGTCAGTCACGGGGTGGTTGGAGTGTGGATCATCTTCAAATAAAAAAGTCAACGCTGAGCAGAGTGAAGCGCCTGTGCACCGTGAATTGAGAGAGCGTGCCCTCGCCCATCTTCTGGCTAATCCTTGGTGTAGCATGACTTGCGGAACATTCCAAGCAGTACTCGTAAAAATTAAGGGCACGAAGACCTTTTCGCGAAATCGTAATATCCATAACAAGTAGCGAGACAACGAGCTGGATGGTTGGCTGAAATTGCAAAGGTGGATGCTACGTAACAAACATGTTGCGGATTTTTCGGAGTTCTCACAAAAATTTTCTAGCATAAATGTAATTTGTTGCAAGACTTATGGACCAACCTAATACATAAGTGAGGAAGAGTCCCCTTATTGTTATCGCTCATTCGCTCTCAAAAAAATTCGAGTTGGAATCATGTCTGGAGGCTAGCCCGAAATCTGACAAGGAAAGATCAATTGATCAGTCCGGCCATTTGGAATGCAATGTATACCTGTATACAGTAGCAGCCAAACATTGACTGACAGGCGATTTTTCAAGGGCTTCTCTGCTGAAAATCACTGAATTGTCTTAACACTAACTTTGTGTTTTCCAATCAACAGAGAAATATCAACCTTCAGATCGAATCGGGGTTGAAAAAATTATAGACTGTTTGAATCTATTGAAAGCAGGCGAACAACTACGTTTATTGAAATAAAATAATGTATTAGATTGGTCCATAAGTCTTGCAACAAACTGGCTGGATTAATAATGTTTTTGCTCCATTCATCCAACATAGTACACGCATCAATATCTACAACCTATTGCCAACGCACTAGAAGCTGTTCGATGCCTCTCTTGTAGAACTCCACTGAATTCTGATCGAAGAAAGATCAGATGTCGATTTTGACATCATCATAGTTAGGATGAGCTTTCTTCTCTAGGAGATGGTTTGGAGAGGGGAGCAGGTGGGCATTATTTGGCACGAGGTCAGGGCTATAAGGTGGATACGGAAGAACTCTCCGTCCGAGAGTCCCAAAATTTTCCTGGATTTTCTTAGCAAGAGGTGGTTCAACGGTGTCATAAAAAGCAAACTTTGCCTTGCTTTTCTTTCGTATTAAAAGCGTTGCAATCGAGCTGTGGATAGTTGACTTCCGCGTTGACTGCGACATCTACACGTAGGGGTTTCCAGAGCTCAACTCCTCTCGTATTCCACCGAAAATCCGAGAAGGCCCTATTCCGGAATACGAAATTGACGTTGTTTCGTAGCAGTTCAGTCTCCACAGAGGCAATATTGAAGAATGTTTTTAGCGTTATTGGAGTCGAGTGAAATATAAGAAGAATGATCCACACAAAAAGTATCCTCACAAGAAAATTGGCCCTCCTCAAATACTTCGAAAGGGTGGTTGGCACGTCCCGTACCCCCGACATCCCAACTAAGAGACAACTTTTTCTGGTTTTTTCCTAATCATATGAAAGTCCAAGTGCAGCCCAACATCGGCCGCGACCTGGTGAATATTACGGATGATGTCCCAACAAGAAGCCATTGTTGGGCTTCAAGAGCAGGATGGCCCAACTGGCTTCCGCACTTTAAAGGCAAACCCCGGGATTGGCCCGACTAGTAGGAGGGATACCACGAGGGAAATTGTAAGGTCCGTACCTACCTAGATCACTCCAGCTTCGTCGCGAAAATTGCGCGGTTAGGGCGCTAATCCTTACGGGCCTGCAACCATCGACCCCAACGCTTCCCACCCACCGCGAGATGTGGTGAGATCAGCGTGCATTGATGTAGAGATCAGCGTGCTCTCTCAAACGACGTGCTCTCGTATTTTGTCTTCTTTGACCGCCCTTTCTGGCGAAGAAAAAACATAGATAGGAAGTCGCGTAGATTACGATGTGCTACATAACTTGTGAAAGTCGAAAATCGCTGTTCGGAAACTTCTCAATTTCAAAGCGAATTCACAAGAATAGCTCTCAAATCCACATAAGGAATCATGAGTTTGCTTAGTAAGCCTTGAGTCCTATGCTAGCATCGTTTTTATTGTTATTGAATTGATTTGAACATCATTTCAGGACCTTCGAGTGAAGCTACTCTTTGTGAATCGAATTGTTTGGCAGGATTCTCTGCTGGAATGTGTGTTGTCGGCACTCCAGCCATTTTTTGGGGTGCAGAACTCAGTTAGGCTTCGAGATCTTGACTTGCTCTCTTCACAACAGCTTTTTTTCTAGTTTAGGAAGGCGGCCAGGAGGAGGTAGGCCTGCATTGGGATCATTTCCGTAATAGAAAACCCATCTTTTCCGGCTAGTTCTGACTATCGAAGAGAAGCATTGTATTCTACAGACTATCCTTGTACTTAGCCCAACCCACATTTCGCTGGATACCTAGAACTGGGGAATCGCCGAATGGTCGGACACATCTTCATCCATGACCATACTTCCACTATTTCTGACTCTTGGAAGTTTAATACCTAAAATGAGGTTTCCATTTGACAAAACACTTCACAGGGCTTCAACATCATTTTCAGAAAGGCAGAAATATCAGTTGTCGCTTAGCACAAGTTTTACCTCTCGCCTTCGGTCCAGGTTAGCCGTTAATGTGCGGAAGCCAGTTGGGCCATCCTGCTCTTGAAGCCCAACAATGGCTTCTTGTTGGGACATCATCCGTAATATTCGCCAGGTCGGCCGATGTTGACCTGCACTTGGACTTCCATTTGACCGGAACCAAAACTCGAAAAAGTAGTTCCTTGGTTGGGGATATCGGTTGGACGGGACATGCCAACCGCCTTTCGAAGTCCCTGATGCAACAATTCCAGAAAGACTTCGCCGGCTAAAAACTGTCGATGTAAGGTTGTAGGTGAAGAGTTGACCTATAATAAAGAAAAAGCAAAAAGAGGCCGAAGAGGACTTGAATAGGGACTCCCTCTCTTCCCCTTAGCAATGAGAATTGGTGTGTCGGACGAGTTGTCTGAACATGGCCTCAATAAATGTGCCAAAAAAGGCAAGAAATAGCTGGCTTCTTGCCAGTGATTGCAACAAGGGCGTGATAATGAAATCGTTACATGTTCTGAATGTAGAGGTAGAAGGTAGAAGGCAAAATTTAGAAATCCAGTAATTGGTCAGTA